AGTTTTGAATTTAAAGTTTTCCTTCTTCTACACCAGTTGCCATCCAAGGCTATAGAACCAAGTATGTCCTACTATTTACCCATAGCTGGGGGGAAAGAGTTGCACTCATTGACTTCTCCCCATAATGCGTATCAACAGGCATAGAAATGTTCACCTATCATCTGGTCCACCCTCCTCCCTGGTCTTTGGACAGGAGTAGATGTTTATCTCTTGTTCCTTCTAAAGTCTTTTCATTCTCTTTTTTTATTTCCAGTAGCCGCCTTGCATCTTAGTGGCATTATCACCTTGCTTGGGATGAACTGATTAAAAAAAAAAATGTATCATTGGTTGAAACTTTTAAATTCAAAACTGCAAATTTGAAGCTAAAATTTGATTAAATTTTCACATTTAAAATATTCACATACTGAAATCTGCAGAAATTTTCATTTCAAATTCATAAGAATTTTCTAGAATTCAAAGATTTCTCAAAACTTCTTATTTATTTAACAATTCTTGATATAAATCAGGAACTGAACCAGCATACATTAAGTCATGGTTAGGTTAATATGAAGTTGACGTCAAGGTGGGCTAGATTTTTTTTACATTATAACATGGTTTGTAGAAGTTGCCGGAATAAACAAGACATGCAGCTTTCAGTATTTTTTTGTTTCGTTTTAAATTACAAACTTTCATTTTTACAATTTTATAAAACAGAATTTTTGGCCCATTGCATCTAGACATTTTTGAAAAAGCTAATTTTGTTGGCGTCAAATGGAAGAGAGAGGAAGAGTATGCCTCTTTAATATGGAAAGCTGTCTAAAAATAGGATACTTTTGAATATTGAGGAAATAGCAAATAAGAAAAAAATACTTTTATTTGCAAAAGTAAAGAAAATGGATTTACTTCTAAATTTTGACACTAAAATGTCAGAACAATGAAAGCTTTTGTGAAGATTCATTCTAGAAGATAATATCAAATGTTATATCTATGAAAAAGCATTCAAAAATATATATATATATATATATATATATATGTGAGTGTGCATTTATTTATGTGCACACATAAATGCCTTTTTATTGAATATACATATATAAGGAACAAGTAAAAAAAAAATTGTAAATTTAATATATTTCACTATTTATTTAATTTTATCAATTTTTTTTAATTTCATTTCAAACAAGGCAATAAAGCCACTAAGATTCAAAGGGTTACTGAGTGCAAGAGAATAAGAAAAAAAGAAAATCATTATTACAGAGAGAGAACAATGAAAAAAACAGGAATTAATAAGAGGGAAGATAACAATTGACATTGCATTTAAATTTTTGAAGATTGAAGTTGACTGGAAAGCAAGAATACAGTTTTACAAACAAAGAGTGCAAGAGAAGAAACTATTAGAATAGAACTTATGGTTATATCTTGCCATTTCAACTATAAAATGATGAGACCTAACTGACAATCTAGTACTGCCCTTAAATTCATAAAGTCTCAGTACCAAAGAAGAAGACTCATTAGAACAATTTCCATGAAAATATTTATAGAAAAGTCATATGAAAGCTATGTTATATTGGTTTGGAAAATGACTGAAAATGACTTTTATGGATTTTTTTGAGAATCTCGCAATATATAGCAGGTGCACCAGACCAAATGAGGCAGCAATATTTAATGCATGGATGTATGGTAGATTTATAAACGTGCAAGATGGATCCTGGTTAGAAAAATTACTTAGCACGACACAGTGAACCAATTTTCCTAGTGGCTGACAAAGAAATTGATTCAGTATAATCTTTCCACTTCATCTCATCAAACGTGACATCAAGAAGACACAATAAGTTCTTCTGAAGGTTAGCATCAGCCATGCTGATATGTATGTATGTTTGTATGTATGTATCAATTTTCTAGTGCATGGAGAAGTCATGTGCGTTTAATTTTTAAAAAATGTTAGTGAAATTTAAGTGTGTAGTAAAAATTGGGTGAATTAATGTATTTTAATAGCATCATAAGTATGTAACAGATCACTGATCCTGTTTAAATGTTTAATTTCATGAAAATGCAGGATGGTGATTTGAAGTGACTATTAATTGGATAATAATTATTAAAATTCTTGGGAGAGTAGATTTAATGGGTGATAAAAAATTAAAAAAAAGAAACAGGTTAAAAATTGTTTTAAAAAAATAAAAGGAATTTAAGAATGGATCCAGGGAGAATTAAATCCAGAATTAATTAGCCAAGTTTCTGTAAAATTGAACAAAATCAAGGTTCTCTATCCTATCCACTTCTTATCAATAAGAAAACATGATTAATGTATTTTCCAAATTTTTTTGGTCCGTTGGAAATTAAATTCATGGGTTTGTTTACATTATACTATCTGTCCAAAACGTTTGTATTTTTATAGAAAAGAATGATACAAATTCTTCTAGAGGAAGAAAGCATCTGGATTTTGTTTATTTCCTAAACTTGAGATTTGTTTATGTTGATGTTGTCCACCCTATTATATTTACAGAAAGAGAGAACAGAAAATTCTAAAAACAAATGGAATGTAATTTTTTCTTTTTTTTTCACTAAGGATCACCCTGTACAAGGCCTGGGAGCCACTCGGGGTAGAAGGTTACATTAAGGGCTAATTTATATGGATAGGAGGGGAAGATAACAATTAATTCTAGATTTGAACACGTTAAGGTTGTTGTGTTCAGTGAAACATCCTCTTGGAAGTCTGTCCCACAGCAGTGGTTTGCGGGAAGAAGCTGTTTGATTGGAACTTCTCACCAATGGAATATGGGGGTGGGGAATCTGGGTGGTTTGCTACAATGTAAGTGGTATGATGGGTCTTACCTGTAATGGTTAGACCTAGCGAGACCAGAGAATCTAGTTTGTCCAAGCATTTTCCATGGAAGTAGTGATAGAGCAATGAGAGGATACCCACGTCTCATCTGTGAGAGATTGGAGTGTTGAAAATAATTCTTCTCCAGCAAGGACTTGGAGATGCTTTTGAGCTCTATTAAGACTGGATAGTGAAAACTTGGCAGCTTCTGCTCAAATATGGCAATAGTACTTCATTTCCAGGCTGACTCTTATAAAGGCAAAAGATGGCATCAGGAGTCAGGTACTTAGTAGAGCAGTACAGGGAGCCAATCATTTTACCTGCAACTTTAGTGATGAATCATATATAAGAGTTCCACTTGAGGTTGGGTGTGAGTTTGAGACCCAATATTATCTCAAGACATGGAGCCTCCTCGAAGGGACATCTGTTCATCATGACTGGCAGTAGGTCAGGTACTGATTGGCAGTGATGGAATATAACTAGTTTGCTTTTCAAGGCATTGAATGTAACCAGCCAGTTTTTTCTCCAGGTTTCCAGAACTCTTTTACAGTGAATGCATTCGATTCTGAAAGAAAGAAGAGCAAGATCTCCTAAGATTAAGATGCTCGGTGTGGAGAAATTAGATCAATGTCGAATTTTAGTGGGGAGTTGTCTATATAAATAAAAGAAACATTGTCAGAGCTTTGTCTCACAAGAAACACACTTCTCATTTTTGGTGAAATACATAAAATATATCTTTTTTCTTTGTTTGTTTTCATTATTTGGAAACTTTTCAAATTGATCTTTGGATGCATGTTTAATTGGCTTATTTTACATTTTTTTCACAATGATAATGACCATGGTTCGGATTGGTATCACAAACTTTCATGCGGCACTGTATCTACTGATGCAATATTGAGCAGCCTTGTCTCAAGTGAGTCATTGATAATAATTAACCATAAAACGCTTGGACATCTGGCACTTTGGTTTAGGTGGTGGCTGTGTAAATTTTAACAGAGAGAACTATCGAATAAAGATTAATTGCACCCTGAGATTCATGAAGATTGTTATCATAATAAATTATCCATGTTATATCTATATATTCCCAGTTTGTCTATTTGACTTCCCCCCTGTCTGTTCATTATTCATCTGTCTCTCCCAATCTGTCCATTATCGAAGCTGTCTCTCCCAGTCTGACCATTATCTATCTGTCTCTCCCTGTCTGTTCATTACTTGTATCTCCCAGTGTGTCCATTATCAATCTGTCTCTCCCAATCTTTCCATTATCTATTTGTCTCTTCCAACCTGGTCGTTATGTATCTGTCTCTCCCAGTGTGTCCATTATGAATCTCTCTACTGATCTATCCATTATCAAATCTTCTCTCCCAGCCTGTCCATTATCCATCTGTTTTTCCCAGTCTTTCCATTACGTATCTGTCTCTCCATCTCTGTTCAGTATTTGATCTCCCAGTCTGTCCATTACCTATCTGTCTCTCCTCGTCTGTCCATTATCTTCATATCTCTCCCAGTATCTTTATTATGTATCTGTCTTTCCCAATCTGTCCGAATTATGTATTTATATGTCTCAGTATTTATCTTATCTATCTTTCTCTCCCAGTCTGTCCATTATGTATCTGTCTCTAACTATCTGTTCATTATTTTATCTCTCCATTATCCATCTGTTTCTCTCAGTCTGTTCATTATCTATCAGTCTTTCCTAGTCTTTCCATTACCTATCTCTCCCAGTCTGTACATTATCCATCTTTCTCCCCTAGTCAGTTCATTATTTGTATCTCCCAATGTGTCCATTATTAATTGGTCTCTCCCAGTCTGTTCATTATGTATCTGTTTCTCCCAGTCTTTCTATTATCTATCTGTCTCTCCCTATCTGTTCATTATTTTTGACTCACACCATATGCCCATTATCTGTCTGCCTGTTCCAGTTCATCCATTATGTTTCTGTCTCTTCCTGTCTGTCCATTATCTATCTATCTAATTCATGACATTTTCTAAATGAAGTGTTTCATGTCTCTCTCTCTGTCATTCTTATAGCAACAAACACAATGGTCCAATGTTCATTCAGTATTCAAAAAAAAAAGTGTATCCAATGAGCATGTATTGATTTAGATGAAACAATGGATCAAACATCTGTAAATGTGGATATAAAAAAATAAATTGTCATTGAGATATAATTGTTATTTATTTTTGTTTCTTCTTTTGACAGGTGAACATGTATCTTCAGCAACTGAAAGGATTGCAAGATGGTTTCTACAAAAAACGGGTGGGGCTGCAAATGCTTGACCTCTAGTAAGTTTCTTTTTTCCGCTTTGTGTCTCCTTTCCATTTCTTTGTTTCTCTTGGAATTTTGCAGCTGATTTTCATTTGCCTGGTGACTCTGATCTTATTTGGACTGAATTTCTGAGAAAAAACAAAAACATTTTGTTTACTTTTACGCATCGATGTTTCTATATTGTTATTTTTACACTGGGTTGGAATAAATGTTTGTTACATTTTTCAGTAAGTGGCATTTGATCAAATGATTTCATTTCACATTTGTGTGTCGTTTCTGTTTTTTTAAATGTTTTTACCCTAAAATTGAAAATGGGAGAAAATGAGACTCATTTTCCCCCATTGCTGTGACTATTGTCGATAAGTGCTAGTTTCAGAAGTTGAGATTTCGATCTGAAAGACCCAGAATATTTTGGCTGGGCATCAGTTATTGATGATGACCAAATCAAAATGCTGATTAAAAACAATCTAGGTCACACAACATCACAAAGATACTCCAAATATCGCATATGAGCATTGTAAAGTATTTGACAACATGTGAATCACTGCAATGTTTACGTCTCTCATGATTTAATGGATCACAATCTGTGATTCTCATTTTAAACAACAAAAACGACAAACTTTTGAGAAGAGTGATCATAGGTGATTAAAATAAAAAAAATTGATTGTTTACAAAAATGTCAAAAAAAAAAAAAAAAAAAGAAAAAAAAGAGGTCCTGAGGAAAAAGAAATGAGCCACTATTAACCACTCCAAAAGCCTATCTGCATCGGAAGAAGGTGATGCTGTGTACCTGGATGTGTTTATGAACTCTTTTTTTGCAAAAATCAAACTTTGAATTCAGTACTATTCCCAAAAGGATCAATTAGAGTTAGCAATTGATGAAATATGTCCAGAATTGGCCAATTGTAAGTCTGTCATCAGGACAACAGACCTCATGTCTCTTTGCAAATGCAGTGGAAATTGCCACAGATTGGCAGGGATATCCCCAACTATCCCTGTCATATTTGTTTCACTTTGCACCTTTGAATTAGAACTTATTTTGATCCCTACAAAATACTCTTAATGGGAATAGCTTCAAATTTCTGAAAGCCTGTGAAAACCATGAAAAGCAGTTCATTACCCAGAAAGATGTAGAAGATAAACTACTATATTTTATGGCCAATATGTTAAGCACAAACAAGTAGGAAATGCCTTCAAATAAAACTCACAAAATTCAGTAGATACAAAAATCATTTTACAATTCTGTACAAACATGCAGTTATTGATGACAATCAAATCAAAATGCAGATTAAAAATAATCTCGGTCACATAACATCACAAAGATACTCTACATATCGCATATGAGCATTGTAAAGTATTTGACAACACTTGAATAATTTAATGGATCACAATCTGTGATTCTCATTTTAAACAACAAAAATGACAAACTTTTGAGAAGAATGATCATAGGTGATTAAAATAAAAAAAAATTGATTGTTTACAAAAAAAGAAAAAGAAAAAAAAAAAAAAAGAAAAAGAAAAAAAGAGGTCCTGAGGAAAAAGAAATGTGCCACCATTAACCACTCCAAAAGCCATCTGAATATTGTTTTTGAAATTCACTTAAAAAACATGGACCATCATTTATTGAGCAAAGTTAGATAAAGCAGTTGTGATTTATTGACTGCTTACTAAGTAATATTTTTAATGATTTGAATTAAATTTCTTATCAACGCTTCTTTTAACGAAAAAATTGAATTAAATTTTCTAAACAACTACAAATGTAATATAATGCTTAAATAAAAATAGGATAAAATAATAAAATAAAATTATAATATTTCTCTCTCAAGGTGACATGTTGGTTGGCCTTTACATGATTTGTTATTTTTCTACTGTTTCTTGGTGATAGTTTCGATGGGTGTCTACTTCTAGTCAGAGTTGTGAGTCATGCTGAATTATTTGTCTTGCAATGGATGGATGGATGGATGGATGGATAGAGCCGTAATCTTTTTGATATGGTCTTATAGATTATGAAATATGTCTGTGCAGGTCAGAATTAATTAATTGGCTACAAGGAAAAACACTAGTAGGCAAGTTTATAGGGAAGAAATCAAGCCTTTTTTTTTCCTTTTTAAACAGAAAAATGCTTCTCTATACCTGCCTATCCCTATTATATTGGAATTTTATTTCGTCTATCTCCACAAATATCCATTCTTCTCCATTCCTTTTCACACAATCCCCACCCCCAGCAAAATATTACCTATCAACTAGTATTTTGGGACTAACTATCCTAATTTCTCTCTGTACATATTCTTAGTGTAATTTGTTTACCTAATAATAGGCAAACTTCAGTGTCTGTCTATATTTTTGAGATGACGTATGTACATTATTTACATTATTCGGACTATTGTCCTCATCTTTGCCGCCATATTTATTACAATGTTTCGGCCGTTGTACACTCTGGCCTTCTTCAGGTGGTTGGAATGTCAAACTGAACCCTTTATTTCGTTCACTGGGGTAGACTGTTCTAGTTCCACGTGCCATGTTTGATGGATGTCAGTTATCAGTTATCTCCTGCTAATTTCCCTCTGAAAGTTCTCCACTGCCTTAACCGGGTATTGAACTCACACCCTTTGGATCCTGTCACTGGATCTAACTAATGACTTTATCCACTGTGCCATGTGTCCTTGAGGACAGTCTACCCCAGTGAGCGAAATAAAGGGTTCAGTTCGATATTCCAACCACCTGAAGAAAGCCGGAGCGTACAACGGCCAAAACATTGTAATAAATATGGTGACAAAGATGAGGACAATAGTTCGAATAATGTAAACTTCAGTATCAGTTCTAGCTTCAAGTGTGAACTCATGAATATTTATTATCTTATAATCCCCTTTTTTTTATATTTATTATCTTATAATCCCTTTTTTTGTTATTCGAGCATAATATTAATTTTGTCATTGATGTTTAGGAATTTAAAAAAATTTATTTTTTACAATGAGGTTCACTCCATACAAGACCTAGAAGCCACTCAAGGTAGAGGGTTACAAAGTAAGAGGCACAGTTTATGCAGTTAGATGGAGAAGATAATGGTTAACCCTAGACATAAACAGATTAGGATTGTTGTGATTAGAAAAACATCCTCTTGGGAATTGGTTCCACAGAGCAGTGGTTAGTGGGAAGATGCTGCTTGCATGGAACTTACTTCTCATCAATGGAATGCAGAGGGAATGAGGGTGATTCACTAGAATTTGCGTAAAATGGCGGATTCTGGCCTTGAAGGTTAGAACTTGTGGAATTAAGTTTGTTGTCTTCTGTCTTCTTAATTCCTGTTCTTTTATTGTTCTCTATCCTTAAGTAGTTTTTTTTTCTCATATTCTTTCACACCCAGTAACCCCTTTGTTTTTATTGCCTTGCTTGGGGTGAAATGATTAAAAAATGAAATGCAAATGAGTATACAACTTGAGTACCCTTTACCAAGCACACTTAGGAAAAGCAGTGATTGATCACCTGCTGAAAAAAAGGATGGTGCTTATATTTACCCATCTATCCTATTATATTTCTTCTTGTGGAATTTTGTTTTGTTTATCTCCACAAATATCTATTCTCCTCCAATTCCTTGACTATCTTGTTCTATAATTTTCATACAATCCCCAACCCCTGCAAAATAGTACTTATCAGTTAGTATTTTGTGACTACTTATAAGTTCCCTGTACAAATTCTTGTAGTAATTTGTTTATCTAATAATAGGTAAACTTCAGTATCGATTCTAGCTTTTAGTGTGAATCAATAAAACTACCTGTTCTACCTAATAGAGTTTTTGAACTTACAGTCCTTTGATATTTAATTTTATCAAGTTACTTAATAAGCAGCTGATAAATTGCTACTGTTTTTCCTAAGCATGCCTCGTAAAAAGTAGTAAGCCAAGAATGCCACAAACTTTTGTTTTAATCCAACACAATGTAGCACTGGAAAGTTTCCAGACTAGGCTTAAAAAGAAAAATATGTGACTCCAGTAAATAATATATATTTCATATTTTATTTAAATTTGGCCACTATTTCATTTGAAATAGGCTCCTTGGCAATGTGCACTGGGATTCCAAGGACCTCTTTCAGGTTTCAAAAGAACCACTGAGGTCCAATTTCTTCAGGCTATCTAATTCCGCTTGCAAGTCTGTTTGAATCACATCCATCATCTTGAAGCAGTTTCAGTGTAATTTCAGGGAATAGAAGGAAGATGTAAGAGAATTGGTTTTTTTTTTTTGACATTTTCTATCTTTTTACTGGTGACTGGCCCCCTTTGAATCAATACTCAAACGACCTTGAAACAAGCATACTTATACCTCTCAAAAACCTGTGTTTGTCATAAGGAATATTCAGTGAAAATTTGACAGAGCATTTTGAAGGTCTTTGCAGCTGATTTGCTGAGGTTCTGATCCAGCATTCTTCATTTAAAAAAAGAAATATACAAACTTAATCGCGACAAATTAAACAACACACTCAGTGTACTTGTATGTCCCTAAAGCCAATGTGATCACAATTTTAACCGGGAAAATATTTTGATAAAAAATGAATACTGTTTACTCTGCCAAAAATGCAATTTAAGTGATATGGTCTACGTGTCCCGTATGATTCATATACAACCAGTTGATTTCAGTTTACCCTATTCTTCTTTCAGAATTAATAGTGAAAAAAATAGAGATTAAGTAAACCTTGAAAAAAAATCAGTTAATAAAAAGAAAAATTTAATAAATAAATAGATAAACATTATTTTAATGGATATTTTTGAGTATTTGAGTAGATGCTCCATTTATTTATTTATTTTTTTTACTGTAAGGTTTTACCATGTACAAGGCCTGGGGGCACTCAAGGCAGAGGGCTGCATTAGGAGGTAATTTGTATGGATAGGAGAAGTAGTGGTTAACCCTAGACTTGAAGAGATTAAGATTGTAGTGATTGGGGAAACATCCTCCTGGGAGTCAGTTCCACAGAAGTTTGTAGGAAGAAGCTGTTCAAGTGGAACTTATATCTCACCAATCTAATA